ACTTGTGTTGGCCAGGCTGGTCTCGGAACTCCTGACCTCAGGTAATCCACCTGCCTCGGCCTCCCAAGTGCTGGGATTACAGGCATGAGCCACGCGCCTGGTTTTTTTTGGTTTTTGAGATGGAGTCTCACTCTGTTGGCTCAGGCTGGAGTGCAGTGTTGTGATGTCGGCTCACTGCAATTCTGCCTCCTGGTTTCCAGCAATTCTCCTGCCTCTGCCTCCCCAGTAGCTGGGATTACCGGTCACGCACCTCATGCCGGCTAATTTTTTGTATTTTAAGTAGAGACGGGTTTAACCACGTTGGCCCAGCCGGTCTCAAACTCCTGACTTTTTTTTTTTTTTTGAGACGGAAGTCTGGCGCTGTCGCCGGGCTGGAGTACAGTGGCCGGGTCTCAGCTCACTGCAAGCTCCGCCTCCGGGTTTGCGCCATTCTCCTGGCTCAGCCTCCCGAGTAGCTTGGACTACAGGCACCGCCACCTCGCCCGGCTAGTTTTTGTATTTTTTTAGTAGAGGACGGGTTTCACTGAGTGAAACCCCGCCTCTACTAAGAATACAAAAATTAGCCAGGCGTGATGGCATGTGCCTGTAGTCCCAGCTACTCAGGCGGCTGAGGCAGGAGAATCGCTTAAACCCAGGAGGTGGAGGTTGCAGTGAGCCAAGATAGCGCCACTGCACTCCCACCTGGGTGAAAGAGTGAGACTCTTTAAAAAATAAAATAGGAAACCAAAGCCTAGGCCAGACATGGTGCTCACACCTGTAATCCCAGGTATTCAGGAGGCTGAGGCAGGAAAATTGCTTGAATCCGGGATGAGGAGGTTGTAGTGAGCCAAGATCACGCCACTGCACTCCAGCCTGGGCAACAGAGGGAGACTCTGTCTCAAAATAAAAAATATAGGGCCGGGCGCGGTGGCTCAAGCCTGTAATCCCAGCACTTTGGAGCCGAGACGGGCGGATCACGAGTCAAGCAGATCGAGACCATCCTGGCTAACCGGTGAAACCCCGTCTCTACTAAAAAATACAAAAAACTAGCCCGGGCGAGGTTGCGGGCGCTTGTAATCCCAGCTACTCGGGAGGCTGAGGAGCAGAATGGCCGTAAACCCGGGTGGCC